AACATTTTCGATCTTCTGTGAGGCATATGTTAGTAGAGGGACAACAAATCCTATTGCTTTTTAGACGTGTTTCTCAACAAGAAGTGCTTCTCAACGAGATCTTTAAATTTCGAGAGATCGCGTGCTGCAGTTTTCGATCCATGACAGCTTGTAGGACACCCAAGTCTTTTTGAACACTTGTAATTTTTATCTGATTTGGTTGCCGTCGGCCTCCGTCGTTTGCTTCATGCAAAGGACATTTTTTTTGCTCAAGTTCAGTTGAATTTTTTGGCTGCTCCACGTTCCGATGTCTGAGAGTTTCTGCTTTTCGTTTTGGAGTGAACTTGTAACAATTTCAAAATCGTCTGCGTATCTATAAGTTTCTCGTCTCTCTAAGACATATAGCAGATCGTTTACCTACACAAGAAAAAGAAGAGGTCCGAGGATGGATAATTGAGCTATGCCACTTGTGCAAGAGGAATGTGGCGTTTGACAGCTTCCAATTTATCTCTTTCGTTCTCGATCTGTGAAGTAATTCTGAGGAGTGGTAATAGTTTCCGCCTACACCTAGGTTTTTCTATTTTTGCGACTAGTTCACAGTGGCAGACTTTGTCAAAGGCCTTACAGAAGTCTATGTATATTGCACTGATTTGAGTAGTTTAATTAAATTTCAGTTATTTGTAGACGCGGTCAAGGAATAGAAGCAGCTGCAATCAGCATACTTCTTTGGCATGAACCCGTATTGAGATCTATGAAGGTATGTTTCTATATGAGGGTAGAATATTTTGAACAAGACTCTCTCAAACACTTTCAAGACATTTGACGACAAGCTTATTTGTCGGTACTGTGAAATAATGGCTCTGTCGTGTTCTTTGCAAAATGATTTGGTTTCGATTGCTTTCCAGCCCATAGGGTTTGTTACTTTGCTTAGAGAGGTTTGAAAGGCTCATTCTCCTTTAGATACGTTTTGTCTGGCAACTGCTGATTCTGATTCTAATGACTTGAGGTTTTTCTGAGGTAAGATAATCCTCTGCTGGAGAAAATGTTCCCTTTGTATATGGTTTGGTTGTTTGAGATTTCATATGAAAATTGTTTCTCCTGTCTCCTTATTCTAATCATAAGCGTCAGTTTTGGAGATTCTTCATAATTTCAAGCATAGCTTCAACTTTTATTATCAGGTGCGAGGTTGATGGACAAACCCAGGGTGGCAGTTTAGATCGGCGAATCGTTATTGAACGTAAATTTTTGTCCAATAATTTTCGAAGCCATGAGTTCCACTTTTGCATCAATTTATCCACATTGCTACAACAGTACGGATTTAAAGGCCGCACGGATATGCATTTATTAAAAGTTTTCGACCATCTTTTTTGAGGCTTTTTTTCTTTGTAGGTGGTAGTGAGGTTTTGAATTTAAAAGAGAACACTGTTTTGTAGGCGTGATGATTGGAAAGCTTCTCCTGAAGGGTCGAGTACGTAGTTTCATTTTAATTATCGGTGCATGAGTCTTCCACGAAATCTGGTTCCTGAGTAAGAAATACATTCAATTTTTATCTTTTCGGCGTGTGGGACTTGGCGTAACACCATTCGATCGAGCTTCGCCGTAATGCAAGACTCGCAGTCATCCTCTGAAATCAGACTTTCTTAGCTCAATTAGTTGGTTTGAATCACCAGTTAGTAAAAAGTTGCAACACTTTTGCAAATCTTAAATTCGTCCGGAGCTTGGTAAATGGCATTGAATTTTTCTGTGCGCAACCTATATGGGCTCGTTTTAGGCGGGTTGTAAAGGCAGCCTATGAGTATTGAGTGAACTTCAATTTAGACCTGCACCACGACGCACTGGTGTTTAATTTCGCAATAGATTCTTTTGTGTATCAAAACTCTAATGGCATTGTGGACACCGCCATATTTTGTAGACAATGAGCCGCTCACGCGATCACTTCTGTAAATTTTGTATTCGGGTAAAAACAGAGCTTTGTCTGGAGTTTTTTGGACCAGCCATGTTTTACTGATGCACAGTATATCTTATTTGTTAAGGGCTTTCGAATTCGCAAATGTTATTCGCCTATTTAGCTCGAGGATACTCCTGACAGTAAATGGCGGTTATGTTGCTTTTGTTTTTGTTATCGTATGTAGTCAATGCTATTTGCCTCCGTCGCTGCCTCGATTGATTTCCAATCATTTTTTCTCTGAGGCTTTAGTTTACATAATTGAAGGTCCTCCGAGTTGATAATGTTGTTCTAGATGAGATGGCGTCTCCATTTGAGAGCAATATTGTTCAACTTTTGTTCGTCTCGGTCTGTTTTTTTTACTGAGGTACACTCGTTTCGTGTATTGCGATCATTGTTTATGAGCACAGAGAAAGAACAGCCAATTTTGGTGTTCGTTGGCTAGCTTGGCTACAAGGGTCCAAGGGTTCTTTTTTTTCGATTGGTCGAAAACGCCCATTTGTTTCACGTTTTCTAAGACCCAGTCAGTTCCAAGAAAACTTGGTGATCTTCCGCACTTCTTCTATATCGTTTCCGAGTTTTTCTCACCTCTTGGTATAGGTTTCTCGCGGTCGTTCTCAACTCTTGGTATAGGTTTTCTTCGTAGTCTGATTTCATTTCAGCTCATATTGTTGGTCGTTTTCGTGTTTCGTGTTCTTTCACTTTTTTAGCATAATTCGTTGCCTATTTTTTTTTCACTTCTGATTGAACGGTTTCAAATAAGTGTTTGATTTTTTCATTGCTTTCAAATCTTTTCTTAATTTCATCGATGTTCTCTTTCATTCCATTGTAACAGTCGTCCGCTTATGTCAAATATGAGTTTAAGAAAAGTAGGCCCTATAACTATTGGCTCAAGGGTGAGGGACACTATCCTTTGTGCTTTTTTACCTCATTCACTGGGAGCCAATTCGGTTCACTTGCGACATGAGACTACAAACCTTGTTACAGCCTAGAGGCTACTACCAAAATACCCCCACTCTAGAAATAAGAACACCCTCATGCTCAGGTCTCAAATTACCCAAAACACACGAACGCCGTATAAACAGCGTCGGAACCTCATGTATACCGTTAGTTTTTATTGAACAGTGGACTTTTGATCCATTTGAGATTGATCAACCTATAAACTCTACCTAATTCAACATAACAATATAAAACACACTCAGGAAATTTAAATTGGGTACTTACATAGCGACATGACCTCTAGAATTGATTAACTAAGTTGTAACACAAGTGAACACAAGTTTTCTATTTGAACCATTGGGCAGCTTCAGCTGTCCACCTTTCCACTCAAGGTTCACTCCATTGCAATTGATTGATTGTTTTTCTTTCTCTCGCCCAGCAATTTTGTCTTCCTATCAGGAACAAGATAGCTCTACTCTCGTCGTATAATTCCAGTAAAATTGCGAATATTTCAGCAATTTTCCCGCGATTATTACTCGATTCTTCTGATTGTTATGTTCTCGTATTTTCAGTTGTCGCGAGAAACTTGAGCACAGCAGGCTCGATTCGAAACTTTCAAAGTTACTTTTCTCTCCGAAATCCATATCAAACGTTCAGCTCAAGGTCAAACTTCCAAATATGACCGACTGGCACATATACCATTAGTTTTTATTGCACAGTGGACCTCTGATCCATCTCAGATCAACCCGAAACCCGCCTTATCTCAACATAATCGTGTAAAAATCAATCAAGAAAATAAATTCAGAAGTCGTACATTGACATGACTCTAGACTCAAGTAAATAATGTAACTAAGGTCATTCTAGAAGTTTTAAGTAATTAGTTATAACTCGAGTAGCCTTCTTTTCTGAGCCATTGGCAACTTGACTCGTCTACCTGCCCAATCACGATTCTCTCTTGCCCAGCAATGGCATTATCGTTTGAATTCACTATGATCTCTGTCGGGAACAAGACATCTCTACTCGAACTGATAATTTGAGTGAAATTGAGAATAGCAATTTTACTTTAGCACAAATTTTATCGACTTTCCAACAATTCTGATTCGAGTTTTCTGATAAAAATTAACTTCTGATTTTCAGTTGTTGTGACAAACTTGAGCATGACATGATCGATTCGAATTTTTCAAAAATTGTTTTTTCCCCAAAAATCAACGTCAAACTTTCAAATATGACCGACTGGCTCTGGCTCATGTTTTGACTTTCTTGAGCTGCTTCTTGCTGTTCGTTTGGTTTTCAATGATCCTGTGTTGTTGATTAGAATGAACGCAGTGATTACAGAGGAGGAGGACGAACGGATTGATCTCCTGGATTCCAAAATCGGTCGTTTTGACATCCCGTTGGAAGCAGTAGTTAAGTTCATTGCATCTTCACACGAGAAGCAAATAATGGAGATTTTTCAGGTATACCAATCTTTTTGTCGCAACATTTAATTTTTTCGAGGGAAGAAAAGGTAGGCATATCCAATAAATTTCGCAACTCCAAGATTTTACTTCTCCGGTATCACTGATATAGGGAAAAAAGCCTGTGTGTCAGTTCCGCAGTTCCAAGGTTTAACACCTCCGGATTCACTGGAGTTTGTGCACAGAATAACTGTTTGGTTCCGCAATTGCTTGGTTGTACAACTCAGGTTTCACTGGAACCAATAACAGGGGGAGGGGCTTGAATTTTTGATTTGGGGCTGTGATTAAATATTTCAATAATTCCTATTCAGTTCCGGACGCACGGGAATTTAATTGAAATTATAGCTTGAAAATTGCTTTTACTCAAGTGTTTTTTGATTTCCCTTCTTATTTTTGTTCCCTTTTTCTGTCTTTCTGTCGCTTGTTCGCCTTCTTTTTGGTTTGCTTCTTGCGAATGAGATGTCGCAAGGAGGCTCTGGTTACCAATTTTAGGTTTTATCGCGGTTGGTGGCTAACATTGGTGAGCTCGTACAAATTATTGGTCGACTTTTCCTTTCTCAGTAATATGTTTCTCCGAACTTCGAGAACAAGTACTCGGCTTTTCCTAAATTCGACCAAGAGGTCTGGAGTCACTTGTCTTCGTGTGTAGACAATCGCTTTAACAACTGTTTCCGAGTTAGCCTAATTGTTGTGATAAACTTATTAAATAGTTTCAGGGATGAGCCAGCGAGGCATGGTGTTGTAAGCAATATTTACATCAGAAATCTCGTGAAATTCAAAAATTCAAATGATGGAAGATTGGAGAAACTGCCAAAACCCAATCCCCAGTAATGGTCAGTGCAGCGTGTGTGATGACTCAGGCGACGCATCACCGTGGTTATCTTGTGTTCTTTGCAATAGACGGGCACATATGGAATGTCTTGGTCTTGGACCCGGCAGTGGAATAATCACAGGGAACATAGCATGGTCTTGTACAAGTTGTGGGCCTCTCACGAAGCTAAGTACCCTTTTATCTTGCTTTAATGAAATGGAAAAGAAACTAGCTAATGTGATGAAACTCAGCGACAAAGTTAATAGGATGGATAAAGAAATCCATTATATGAAAACTAACGCGGGAAGAGAATCCCGTAATTACAGCCAAGTTGCTGCTGGTAATGCACAAACCCATGTAAATTATGATGACCAGATCACAATTCAGAAGCCTGATTTTTCGTTTATCAAAGGCATGCATCTCAGAAATGACAGTGTATCGTCGAACAGTTCTAGTCCAAAAAAGCGAACCCGAGTGGAAACGCCCGAAAAAAAGCCAGCGGCAATTATTGGAACGTCTGACTCACAAACATTTTTAGGGGTATCAAAACCACCACCTAGAAGACACATTTATGTTGGTCGTATTAGCAAAGATTATACCGCAGATGATGTTATTAAATGGTGTAATGAAAAAGATGCGCCACTGCAACATATCAGGGAAGTTTCAATAGAAAACGGCTCTTTCAGAAGTTTTCACTGCGTTTTCTCCGGAGATTGTTGTGAAAAAATTGAAAATTCTGCTTTCTGGCCGAAAAATGTTGTGGTCAAAAGATTTTTCTTAAACGATAATGCTAAGACATGGTTGAAGTCTCTATCAAACAAGCCTTGACTATCAAAAGCTTTGAAGACTTCAATTTCCATTAGCTTATTGAATGCGCGGTCGGTCAGAAATAAAACATCAAATATTGCTTCAATACTTCTATCAAATGATTTTGATTTATTTTTTCTTACGGAAACGTGGCTGAAACATGATAGCAATGAAAATTATTTACTACGTCAGTGTTGTTCTAATTTGGAAATTTATGACACTTTTAGCCAGCCAAGAAATTACTCTAATGGAGGTGGAATAGCATTGATTTGTAGATGCGACTTCAAAGTCAACCAGTTATCATCGCTGAATCAAGCAGAGATAGAGCTAAAAGTTCTCGAAATATCCTTTCCGACCTGTCGTATATTATTCATCATCTGCTATAGGCCTCCATGTGGAGATTTTTTGATTTTTAAAGAACAATTATACAACATGATTTACGAATTTTCCACTGATTATGATTTATGTGTGATATTGGGTGATTTCAACGTACACTTCTTTAATAATAAAGACAATCGTTATTTACTCCTCCAAGATGTCTTTCAAGAGTTTGGTCTGAAACAAATTATAAACGAACCAACACATTGCTCTGGAAATATTTTAGACTTAGTAGCTATTACAGATGAAATAAAAATATCGCAATTAAACGTGATCCCTTTCGAAGTTTCTGACCATCATGTTATATCTTTTCTACTAGCAATAAGTGTTTCAATGGCAGAACGAATTTTAAAACCTTACAGAAAATGGGACAATATTGATCTTATAGAATTAGCTGGAGAAATAGAAAGTAACTTACTGATCAATCAAATCAGTTTCGAAGAAAACAACACAGCCATGAAGGATTTCTCTGACATAGTAGCTGAAGTTACAATTGATATTAACCCAACTAAATTTCGGCTTTTTAGAAAACGTAACTGCAAATTTTTTGACCATGACTTGCAAACGATGAAGCAAAAGCGCCGTAAGTTTGAACGAATCTTCAATAAAGTTCCTTCACTGGAAAATAGATTGACTCTGAAGAATGCCAATCTGGATTGTCGCAAGTTATTTAAAGAGAAACAGTTTGATTACTACAATAGGGAAGTAAATCGTATCAAATCACAACCAAAGAGCTCATACAGTTCTTTCAATGAAGTTTTAGGAATTGATACGAGATCAGTGCTACCCAATAATTGTTCTTTATCAGATCTGGCAGATAAATTTAATACTTTCTTTATTGAGAAAATTGAGAGCGTCATTGCTTCATTGAAACCTCATAACTTTTATTACCGTGACTCAAATGAAACATTAGCCAGAGACAAAGTGAAATTTAGTTCGTTCAATAAAGTTACTTGTGATGATATTTATAAAGCAATTGCATCCATGTCCAATGCTACCAGCCCCTGCGATTCTATGCCAACTGAGATTATGAAGAAAATTCAAAAAAGCTGGGTGCCAACTTTTACTGGCATACTGAACAATTGTTTACAGAAAGGACATTTCCCAAATGTTTTCAAGTTAGGCATTATAAGTCCTTTTCTGAAGAAAGCAACACTTGATAGAAATCTGTTGTCTTCTTATAGACCTGTTACCCAATTATCTTTTTCATCCAAAATTTTTGAGAGAGTAATCTCGATTCAATTGCTGCATCTTTTAAACAAGCTTGATATTCTCGATCCTTATCAATCAGCGTATCGTAAAGGATATAGCACTGAATTAGCACTTTTGAACACCAGTAATGACATTCTTAACAAGCTTTCAAGCAAATGCCCCGTAATCTTAGTGGCTCTTGACTTAAGTGCTGCCTTTGACACGGTCTCTCATGATATTTTATTACGCCGTCTGGAAAATTACACTGGACTTGAAGGAGCAGCTCTTGAACTTTGTAAGTCTTATTTATGTGGTCGCTACCAGGCAGTTAAAATTAGTAGCTGGTTATCTTCGACTGAATCTGTGAAAAATGGAGTTCCCCAAGGATCCATATTAGGTCCTCTATTTTTTAGCATTTACCTTTTACCTCTACGGTCTCTCTTTTTATCTCTTGATTTGAATTATCAAATTTATGCGGATAATGGTTTAATTTACTTATCAGCCGCAGATTTAAATAGTTCAGTTGATCATCTGAATGCAAGTCTAGTCAAAATTACCAAATGGTTTGAAATGAATAATGTGAAAATAAATTCTGATAAAACAGAAGTTCTGTTTGTTGACAGGAAGGTTGCAAGAGAAATAAACATACGTGTTAATAATGAAATTGTCAAATCAGAAGACACACTTACAGTGCTTGGTTTTATTTTTGATTCCAAATTTAACTTACAACGACAAATCAATTCTGTTTGTAGCTCGGCCTATTACATTCTGCGGAAACTTTTTAGCATAAAAGCTTTCCTTTCTTTTGAGACCCGACATTTACTCTGTCAATCCCTTATACTTAGCCGCCTTGACTATTGCAATAGCCTATATTTTGGTTTACCCAATTACCTTTTGATGAAACTGCAGAAAATACAAAATTCAGCTGGACGATTTGTATTCCAACTCAAGAAAGGAACACCAACCAGCCCTTATCTACATGATCTACATTGGTTACCAGTCTCGAAGCGAATTGAGTTCAAATTACTGTGCATTGTTTTCAAAGTACTAAACCGAAACTATTTATGTCCAGCATTTTTAAGAGACATACTCAAATTAAAACAAAATAGCTATAGCTTGCGTGATGGTCCAAAATTGGTAGTACCCAGAGTTAATTCAAGTTTAGGTAGAAGATCTTTCAGCTATTGTGGAGCAAAACTTTGGAATTCACTGCCCCAGAAAATGCGAGAAGAAACGGACTTTCAGTTATTCAGAAAATCACTGAAGACACATTTATTCAGATCTCATTATTACACATCGGCCACGTACTAAGGAGACAGACAAAACAAACACCTTTGAGTACCAAAAAGGGTGTATAATCCAGCAATGATGATGATGATGATGATGAAGCTTTTTTAGGTTTTTGATAAATTTGAGAATTTTGAAAGGTCGGTATTCATTCTGAGTTGCACAAAAATTGCCGGAGTGGGCGGTGATACTGTTGTTAATTATGTCGTTCCAGCTTACGATACCCTTGCATCGTTGAAGTATACCTCTGTTTTTGAATAGATTTTGGACGGGGATAGATTTGGGGATAAAGTCTGGTCCGCGGATAGAATAAGACTAATGTCGGAAAGTATTCTTTCGCTGTTTTTCAGTGATTGTCAGATTTTCAAGACCACTGTCTCCGATGATATAAACTATAAGGGGTCACAAAACGGCTACACTGGAGTTCATTTCTTTTGAAAAAAGACACTATGTAATAAGATTAGAAAACACGGTAGATCCCTTGGACCGTTGAGATAGTCGTGTACACCTCTGAGAGGGGACCTTCGAGAGTGCCACTGGTTGATGTGCTGTAGGAGGAACAAGTCCTGGTTGATGTACAGTTCTGGTTTCTCACTTCGATAAATTGTCCTTCTGTGGTTGCAAAGCTGCGATGAGTCACGAGTCTCAAATTATCTTTGTTTGGTTGCTCTTTACTCATTTATTTTGTGAACAAAACATCTCAACCGATTTTGGCAATAATTTGGCACTTTTTCATGATAATCTTGTGATTGATGATTAATGTCACGAATGCAATCAAAAAATAACTTGATGAATTATTTCAATGGATGTTAAATTGAATCATTTAAATGGCAGTTTTGGTGATTCTGTTACTCGGTTTATCGATAAGCTCGTATAGACTCAAAATTTTACAGACTCAGGAAGAAGAAGACCTGTTTGCGATGAAATACGAAAGACTCAAATCAAGCCTCAAAAACGTTTTCTGGATATATTTCATCAGTAAATATGAGGAAAGTGTCCCATGCACATGGAGAATAAACTGCTGCAATAGCTGTGTAAACTCAAAGAAACTATAAAACTCAGTTTAAAACTCCCAACGCGGGGCATTTTAGCCCCATGGCTTTATGTCTAAATCCTTGTTTATTATTATTATTATTATTATAATTCATTTTATGTCCGTTTTCTGCGCTGTGACCTTTTTGCTTTTAGACCATTCTACGCATTGACTGGCCACCGTTTTGAAGTATCCTGACAG